AAAAAAAAAAAAAGAAAGTAAAGTGTGGAGGGCTGGCCAAATAGCCCAGCGGACTAAAGCAACTGCTTAGATAGGCACAGAGACTAGGGTTCGATCCCTAGCCTGCTGTGCCAGCCCAGCCCCTGCGGTGCACTGAGATAGCAACTGAGACTGGGCGTGATGCACAGGTCTGTAATCCCAGCACTTGGGAGGCTGAAGACAGAAGGATCACTACAAGTCTGATCTGGTAGTGAGGCCCTATAGTCCCTTTACTAAAATACATAAAAATAAAAAAGAAAAAAGAAAAGAAAATAGTGAAAAGACAAATAATAGTACCTTCCCTACATTTATGTTTTACAATAAAGATTCAAGCTATAAAATTTTTATTTTTGATTATAGCCCTTGTTACCTCCTGGGCCTTTAGAAATGCTTCCTGAAAATGAAGATGATGACCATGAACTATTTAAAGGATTTCTGCAGACATGGGGAGCGATGAACAAGGTATGATGTGGGAGGGCTTGCAACCTTTAGGATCATCTGTGAAGGAAATTTCCATATGTCTTTATTAACTTAGTGCTTTGGTCTTTCCCAATGTTTTAGACAAGTAGTAAGAACGTGGAGAAATTGCCCAGCATTAAAAGGTAAGTTAAAATTCTTGCCATTTGTCTTACTTTTTTTTTTTTTTGGCGGAACCGGGGATTGGACTCAGGGCCTTATGCTTGCCAGGGAAGTGCTTATTCCACTGAGCTATCTCCCCGGCCCCTGTTTTACTTTTTTTTTTGAAAATATTACATTTTTAATTCACTTGGGAAGACACCTACAAGGGGAATAATTAGATATAATGTAGTTTCTACTTTTTGTTTTTTGAGGAGTCTCCATCCTAATTTCCATAGTGGATATATGAATTTACATTCCCACTAACAATATAGAATTTAAAAGCCTTCTTTTCTCCCTAAAGAACTTGCTAACATATCAGAAAAATATAATCACAAGGTAATGCAAACATGTACCAATGAAAACACAATACTAATAATAGTAATAATAATGAATAAAGAAAACATTGGGCTGGTGAGATGGCTCAGTGGTCTAAAGCACCTACTTAGAACAAGCTTAGCAAAGCACAGGGACCACGGTTCAATCCCCCAGCACCACATGCCAGCCAGCCCCGCCCCCTGGTGGGCTGAGCTGGCCATACACACACACACACACACACACACACACACAAATAAATAAAAATAAAATAAAATAAAATAAAATTAAAAAAAAAAAAGAAAAAATTGTTAAGACAATTGATGCAAAAGTGACTCAGTCAACTCAATTGTTAATCTCAATAAATATTTCATTCATCCAAGGGATATCCTGCTTCAAATGGATGAGATATTTTAGTAAAAGAATTAAATTTATTTTCATACGGTTATTTTTAGGGGTAAGCATTGACCAAAGGCAGGAAACTAGTTCATGAGGAAAAGCTGTTCACACTAAAAGAGCTGATAACTCCTACATTTGCAGCCCTGACGCATATGATGTGAATAGATAATTTCTAATTGAATCTTGCAATTGATGTAAGGATATTAAGTACACAATGCAACAGCACCAAATTAAAACAAAACTGAATAATAAATTCTAGTAGTATTATTAAGGCTAATATAGTAACCTTGTAGAAATATGATGCTATCTTTTTTTTTTTTAATTTTATTTATTTATTTAGAGTGTGTGTGTGTGTGTGTGTGTGTGTGTGGCCAGCTCAGCCCACCAGGGGGTGGGGCCGGCTGGCATGTGGTGCTGGGGGACCGAACTGTGGTCCCTGTGCTCTACAAGCCTGCTCTAAGTAGGTGCCCTAGACCACTGAGCCATCTCACCAGCCTCTGATGCTATCTTGATACATTTCTGCTCATCTATTTTTCGTAACTTTTAAAATTTATTTATTTATTTATTTGGTGCAGGGTCTCGCTATGCAGTGCATACTTATAGTGATCCTCCTGTTTCAGCCCATGTTTTACATTTTTTTTTTTTTGCGGAACCAGGGATTGAACTCAGGCCTTTGTGCTTGCCAGGGAAGCGCTTATTTCACTGAGCTATCTCCCTGGCCCCTGTTTTACATTTTTGACCTTTGTTTTATTTTACTTTTTTCCTTTTTGTGCTGGGGATGGAACCTAGAGCCTTCACAATGATTTACATCCCCAGCCTTTTTTGTTTTTATTTAAAAAAAGTGTTGAGTCTCAGTCATTGCCCTGTAGGCTCAAACTAATGATCCTCTTGCCTCAACATCACAAAGTGTTGTAATTGTAGGTTTGACCTACTGTACTTGCACCTGACAGTTTTATATTTTTGAGATTTTTTTTTTTTTTTTTTTTTTTTTTATGGAGCCAGGGATTGAACTCAGACCCTTGTGCTTGCCAGGCAAGCACTTATTCAGCTGAGCTATCTCCCCGACCCTTGAGATGTTTTAATCATAAAAGCTATATACTACAGTAAGGAATTTTTTTTTTTCTCTCCAAAACTAGGGATTGAACTCAGGCCCTTGTGCTTGCCAGGCAAGCGCTTATTCTACTGAGCTATCTCCCCGGCCCCTGGGAATTTTGAAAGTAAGGTGAAAAATTTCTTTCTAATTTTTTTTCTGAGCTACTGTTGTTTTTATTTATTTATTTATTTTTTTTGTGGAACCGGGGATTGAACTCAGATCGTTGCATTTGCCAGTCAAGCGCTTATCCTACTGAGCCATCTCCCCGGCCCCATGTTGTTTTTATTTTTTATTTTTGCGTATTTTCTTTCAGTGTTGCCATATGCAGTACCATTAGGATATAAACTTCATGAGGGCAGGGATTTTGTTTCAATATCCACTAAGTATTGGCTAAATCAGTTAATTCGTTGCACTAGGTTAGGGGCCTGGGAAGTTAGAAGACCCTCCACTTCCCCGGCTTGATGTCCTTACTCTGGCAGGAATTCAGAAGGTGAGGTGAGGCTGACTCACAATGAAAGATCCTTCTGATGCAAAATGAGGAACTCAAAAAACAACAGTGAAATGAAGCAGAAATTTAACTGTGGGACTGCCAAAACTGAGTGAGTTGTTTGACAGAGGAGACCTAGATGAGACTCTCAGCATAGTGTCTTTGACTTGTCCATACTTATGATTCCTTAAAATGATTATTTCACTGATTGGTGTAATCCAGGTCAGTCAGGGTTTTAGCCTTTGTTTCTGGGGTGAGCCAGGGTTCACAGGGCCTGGGAACAGAGAAAATGCATGCATGCACAAGTCCTACAGAGGACAGCTTCCCTAACTATATCATGCAGTGTAAGTGTGTGTGGTCTTCTTTTCTGCATCAGACACTCAGGTCATGTGCTGTTCTGCCTGCCACCTCATATCCCTGTAAATTCACATTTGTATGTTATGTTCTTATGCATATGAAATTTCGCCTTATGCTTGTTTTTGTGTGTGTTCCAGAATTTTTATTTATTTATTTTTTGAGATGGTCTCTATGTGGATCTGGTGGCCTTAAACTCACTGTAGCACAGACTGGCCTTGAACTTGGAATAATCCTGCCAATTACAGGTGTGCATCATTATGCCTGACTCAGAATCTTTGATAAATTCTTTTTTTTTTTTTT